AAAAAGAAAGAAAATTCTGACATTTACTCACCCTTATATCATTCTAAATATGACTTCACCGAAGACAAAATTATTGGACCTCGTTGACTTTCATTGTATGGCAAAAAAAGTTTTTTTTTTTTTCCAAAATATCTTTTCAGAAGAAAGTAAATCATACAGAAAAATTTTGACATCATTTACATGTTGTTTCAAACCTGTATTTCTTTTTTCTGCTGAACACAAAAGAAGATATTTTGAAAAATGTTGGCAGCTAAACCGTTAAACAATATGGACAATAAAATACAGTGGAAATCACTGGGAACCAAAACTGTTTGGTTATAAACATTCCTACATTCTAAACATTCAATATCTTCTTTTGTGTTCAGCAGAGGAAACAAATGCATAAAATACAAAAAATACAAAAAGACAAAAAATACAGTGGAAATCACTGGGAACCAAAACTCTTTGGTTATAAACACTCTTGAAAATATCTTCTTTTGTGTTCAGCAGAAGAAACAATGCATACAGGTTTGGAACAACATGAGAGTGAGTAAATGATGAGAGAATTTTCATTTTTATCTTAATAAAAACACACATATGCAGATGGTAGTTTAAAGTGTTATTTTAATTCATGCTGATCTGTCTGTATGTTCTCTCCTCACTAACACCTTGATTTGCCCTGTACAATCTAATGTGACATGTATCCTGTACAGATGGTGCTGATTGTATGTAACCTTTGACCTCACTTTGACTTCCCAGCCAGTGCACATGCAGGAAGGAATAAATCAACAAAAACCAAATGAACTAGAAAATCTGCAGTCACATGTATGGTTCGATCCCTATGAATTAGAACTAAGTTCAGTTATCACACTTGATGTGTATTTTTCGAGCTGTGGGCATTTCCAGGGTATATGAAAATGTATCGATCCGGGATCAATGGTGTTCTGTTCCTGCTTTTGGCAACTATAAAATGTATTTTCCCCAGTTGCCTGCTGGTTTTGAAGGATGGCATTTGAGTTGATGTATTGATGCTAGCAGATAGGATGTGCAGCACAGGTTTAATCACCCACCTTGACCAACTCTCTTTTCCTCCATTACTCTGTCTATCTTTATCTGTCTGTCTCAGGGCCGTCCTTAGCTGACGTGGGGTCCGGTGTGAGGTAGGGAGCGGGGCCCCCTCGGTCCGTTCGTGGTCGCGTTCTGGGGAGGGGGGTCCCCCTCGGTCCATTCGCAGCGGGGCCCCCTCAAAGCGTGGGGCCCGGTACGACCACACCAGTTGCACCGCTCAAAGGACGGCCCTGGTCTGTCTATACCTTTTTTTAGAAGACAAATCTTTAATAATGAAGTGACAATTGTAGCTTTTCATTTGATGAGTGGGTGAATGAATTGAGGGTTATTGGCACATACTGATTTCAGAAAGTGCTGCTGTCTTGCTGGTTTTCTATGTAAAAAAGCGAGTGCCTGTATTTCAGACATCTGTCATGTCAGAGTTTTTCTGAACAATTGGAAAACGTTAAGAGAGCACTAATGAGCACTTGTGTTTATAGCGATTTTATTCTCTTTATTTATCCATTTACCTTGTTTAGTTGTTTCATGTTATTTTAAATGTGCACTTTGACGTTCTAATGTGTTGTTTAACACCACCTGTTTCATAACGTTTTTGAGATTTAGTTGCTCTCAGGTAATGGTCGTACAAGGGAAAAGCTTTTAGATTAGTGACTACGCAATAATGTTCGTTTGAATTCTTTTACTTTCAAATAAAAATACTTTAAATGCAGAGAAATAAAATGTATGCTTCTTGTCTGTCGATGTCCATAACTGTCACTAGAGGGCAGTTTGTCCTCACTCATTTGTTTTCCTTATTTGCACAACCCGCCGAAGGCAATTACAAGTAAAAATTTGGACTTTCTTGACTCTATGTTTCTCATGATAAAAAAAAGCTTTCAATCTAAGGGTCCATAATTAAATGTATCAACTGAGTTATGAGTTCAATATGTATGAATCTCTTAACAATTTTACTTTAAGAAGCTTACTTTTAAGATAGTTTTGATTTATTTAACATTTTGGTAACTGCGTTATTCCTCTACTTCCATTTCAGGACTTAACATGTTAAAACAACCGTTAAATAGAAGCAAAGGTAAACTGAGATAAATTGGCGCATTTTCCAAAATGGCGCGAAGAATTGTTGCAGGAATGAGGTAAGCAGTGGTTTGTCATATTATGTGTTTTTTATATTATGCATGATTTGGACTTGGTTTCATAGTTTTAATCAGTCAGAATGTTTCCTCCCGAATTGGTTGCATTTCTCCCATAACTGGTTGGAATTGTTTGTTTGAAGAAGTACAAGACAAAAGTGAAAGGGAACAATTTGTTATCCCAGACAGGATGGCGGCTAACCTAATTTCAGCTCTTGCCTACTTCAGACATGCTCTCCAAATTAAGTGTCCAAAGAAAAGACCTGGGTTTTCATGGTATTGCCATGGGAACAGGACTGGAATTATTTGCTCTCGAGTATTTCTCATAAGCCACAAAGATGAATCAGCCCAAACAGTAGCATTTAATATCCTGAAGCAGGTAGGGCATCATTTGAAGATGTTTCTTAGGTTAGACTAAATATATGACTATTTTTGTGCACTGCAATGACTTGGGGCAAATCCATTAAAGCAGCACTATGTAACTTTTTCTGTAGAGAAGTAGCTCCGGTTGGAATGTTCTTCCGCGGGATGTGTGCAGTTCTGTTTATTAAAAAGTTACATAGTGCTGCTTTAAGAGATGTTTTACGGAAAAAATCCTCAATTATATCATGAGCCTGGTCGGGTCGTCACCGCTGCGGAGTAACACATACCTGCGTGAATCGCCATAGACATAAACTTAAAGAAGTAGCTCCGGTTGGAATGTTCTTCCGCGGGATGTGTGCAGTTCTGTTTATTAACCGCTAGAGCGCCAAAAGTTACATAGTGCTGCTTTAAGAGATGTTTTAGGGAAAAAATCCTCAATTATATCATGAAATGTCCATCAGAGAATGTTAATCTCTGGTCACAAATAAGTAGCCATGTTTTGGTTCGTCCGTTTGCTTCATCTAACCAGACACAAAGTAACACAAACAATTGCTCATCGTTTTAAATGAGGGCAATAAGTTTAAGCTAACACAGGTACCAAGAATCTAACCAATGTGCCCAATGAGAAAGTTTTACCTTAGTGTATCCAGTGTTCAATGTTCCTGCCCAGCAACAGTCCGGACTCCAATAAGTTTATTCCAGTTTGACTAAATAATGACAAGCTGAATCCAATCCACTGGTGGTCTAATGTGATGTAATACATCTTCGATGTTGGATTAGATCTATAATTGAGGGTTTGATGAGATTAACATTTGTTCTTATTTGCCAGTATTTGATTACAGCTCAGTAGCATTTCGCCTTTATTAAGGGTCAGTGGAGGAAAGGGGGGATGTTTTGAAAATGACAGTTCTTTCCAGCTCGTGGGCATCTAAATATTGCCTAATTATAGTAGACGGTGACGTGCATGTATGTGGCGGCTGACCAGTCTGAAGACATATGCCATATCCACTGCAGCTTGATGGTTGGCCTCTTAATATATAGAGTGGTCTATTGCATCTGTCTGTCTTCCAGTCTATTTCCGTCTCTGTGTGCCTGTCAAACGAAAATCTTTACCCTTGGACAGCGTATTAAACTCAGTAAATCCCTTGAGACTGCCTTGAAGTATAAGAAACCTACCCTCTCTTTTCTAACTCTTTCCACTTTTTTGTCTTTGTCTTAGTAGAGCATCGGAATAATTCAAATGGTCTTTTTTAACCAGAAATTTTTCCACTGCCTCTACTTAATGTTCCTTTAAAGCATTTCCTCCATTAATTCATTTACTCATTTATTGATTTTTCACTTTCTTTTCAAGCAAAGAGGCTTCCCGACAAAGCAGTTTGAGCCACAAAGTCTTGTTAAGCCATTTGTCAAGCACTTCTTGTGGTTGCGAGCTGTTTTGATGGACAAACTGCCGGAGTCTGTAGGATTTAAGGCCAAAGTTGAATGCTGACCTGATTTATTGAAAACTGTATTTTCATGAATCTGACAAGCACATCAGCTTAATGTTTCTCTTTATGCAAAATCCACTGCATATGTGACAAATAAAATAAAATAAAATGACAAGACTGAAAAACAACAACAATACTTTGAGACTTTTTTGTCTTTTTTTGCAAAATTAGGCATATGTGTATATTGCATTATACTGGTTTCTTAACAAATTTACATTAAAATAATAATAACAATAGTAGTAATAAATATACTCTTTATTTGTAGATGAGGAACCAGGTGATATATATGGATTTTATGATGAGTATTCATATTCCTCAGCACTCCGGCGGCCAAAATCCATCCAGCCCACGTAATCCCGATCTTTTATCCGGTGGTTAATGCTGTTTGCTCTGTTGTTCATGGAGGAGTTGCGACGAACAGAACCTAGGAGAGAAAGAAAGAAAGAAGTTAATGCAAAATCTCTTAACATCCTAAATGTATAACTAGTAGTGACTATAAGTAGAAAAAGTGGATTTCTATATATACACATCTCTGGATTTAGTTCCATTCTAAAACTTACAGTATAAATCTTCACTTTTAGACACAACTTTCTAACATCTCTTACATAAAACCTTGTTCTAAATGGCAAGATATCAATGAATCTGGCATTGTAGCAAGTTTTATGTCACCCATTAAAACATAAATCATACTTAATTGAGCGATTGATGATGTTAACGGCA